GGAGAAGGGGGGATTAGGGAGGGTGCAGCGGTAAGGGGGGAGAAATGACCCAAACATTATATGCACATATTAATAAAATAAAAATTTTTAAAAAACAAAAAGAGGTCTCTTTGGCCCTAGAGAATTACAGACAAAGTTACATGTAAACCGCAAATTTAGAATGACCAGCGTCAATGTAAATAGACAGGCTCCAGAGCACTTGATGCCCCACTAGCAATTTACGTAAATCTCCAATACTTGGACTCATTCTTCATTCCTACCTGAATATTCATACTTCACTAAAGCATGTGGTCATATAAATAAATAGATACGCACACACAGATACACACATACAGTGACAGTGTTCTCACAACTACTAAATAAGATACCACCAGGGAGAGGCAAGAAAGCCATGATTTTAGTTAAGTCAAGGAAAATCTATAGCATCATGAGTAATTGTAACAGTAGTAACATGGTGCCACTGATCACAAAACTGGGAAGGGATGAGAACCATTGGCTAACACAAGCTAGCTCTGGCATACCCATGTCTTTCACAGAAACATGCACAGCATCTATGGGTAACTCTGAGGAGGAGCCTGAACTCCAGCCCCAAATACACAAAACAAACAACACGTATGTCTAAATCACATATCCGTCACAATTCATGAACATATGCATAGAACTTCTACTGATACCATGAACACAGATATGCCACCTGTTACCACCTACACTTTTACAGAAAAAACCCTACTCATTCTCAATTTTCACGTCATTGATGCAATTATGCATAGCCTTATACTATACAAAAGAAATAAGCACAGCAAATGTACTGAGCACATGTACACAATGAAAACCCAACATCGATTCTAAAGCAACACCAGCTATAAAGACAGTTGCCTCATGAACCACCTAGAACAGATACACATGTAATTCCACAGTGCCAATATGTGTACTCTACAATTGTTGAATTTTCATGTAATCTGTATGTATATTTTCAAGTGCATACAATTAACCTCCCACATCTTCCAGAATACACACTCATATGCTCCATGAACTCAAATACTCACATAGCCACAAATAACCTGTATTTATTAAATACACAAAAATAAATGGAAATGGTAGGACCACACATGAAACCAACATCAGCAAAATCTACAAGATTCCATTGCTGAGTAAACACAAGGTGAACTCCTATTCCTTTTGTACACATATATATCCCAAATACAAACATTCACACAAGTGAGTAAATATTTCACAATAAGTGCAATTGACTTATTTTTTATCTTACCAATGATGAGCCTCATGTTCTCTTTTTTCTTTTAATGCTGGTGATATTACCACCTGATTCACATATAAAAGACCTACTTTTCTCCGGGAACCATTAATAATACTTTACATTTAACAATAGAGTAAATCCTCACAACAATCCTATGAGGTAGCATTATAAATATGAGGTGAGTGAGATTTTACTTTTCCTTATACAGGTCTTTCTTCATATTTTGTTAGATTTGTGACTTTTTTCAAATTTTCATTCACATGGTCATTTCTTGGCTTGGGGCCTTTGGATCCAATCTAGGTATCACCTGTGTTTAGAAAGCATATGAGCGACACATTTTCTTAATGTACACATTTTATAATTCCTCCCAGAAATGAGAAAAATTAATTAGCACCCCTATTTTATCATCATCAAACATTCAAAAAGGAATGTTGAAGAGCATAAAAGTATAGAAACTATATGTTGTGACAATAACCATTCTTTCAAAGGATCTTTAGTGCATGCCTATGTGGTCAAGTCAGTGAAAAGGACTACTTATACAGCAGTGAATTTAGTTAATAGGAAAGTGTTGCCCACAAAGTGAGACTTAAACTTGAAATAATCACCATGCAAACAAAAATATTTTAAGTGGAAATGTGATGTGTGTATGAGTTAGGCAAGCAGAAAGTTGAAAGAATGAATACTCCACAGGGAGAACACAACATCCATGAAGCAGGATATAGTTTGGCAGCTCAAAAAAATTAGTGGAACATGAGGAACAGAAGGTAGTAGGCAGAATGAAATAAAGATCAGGGCAGAAATTAATGGAATGGAGACTAAACAACAAGAAACAAAACATAAAGAATCAATGAATCAAAAGATGTTGCTTTAAAACGATAAATATAATTGACAAGCGCTCAGCAAAATGAACAAAAAGAAAGGGAGAAGACCCAAATTAATAAAATTACAGATGACAGAGGGGAATCTGGTGAGCAGGAGGGGACTTGAGAAGGAAAGGAAGAAAGACACGCAAAGAGGCAGGTGCTCTAGGACATGACAACAATTCTTTGAAAAATGAAGGGCAGGTGGAAAGAAAGGGGAGGGGAGGGATTAAAAAATGGTCTGGAGTTTCTCTGAATAGGTCGGCTGAGGGAAAACCTGGAAGGGGAATGATGTGGATGGGCTGTGTTGGAATGAAGAGGGGTTTTTGAGGGGACCAGACTAACTCACAGTGGACCAGAAGACCCCATGGGAACATCAGTCAGTCCTAGACAGGAATTGGTAGAGGAAAGTGAACTGGGCTGAGAGCAGGGGAATAGGGTAAGATGGGGTGCTGAACAAGTAATGTTAAGTTCCTCAACATTAGAAAAGCTATATATGACAAACCTACAGCCAGCATTACACTTAATGGAGAAAAACTGAAACCCTGCCCTCTAAAATCAGGAACCAGACAAGGATGCCCACTATCTCCACTCCTATTCAACATAGTACTGGAATTCCTAGCCAGAGCAATTGGGCAAGAAGAAGGAATAAAAGGAATACAAATAGGTAAAGAAACTGGCAAAATATCCCTACTTGCAGACGACATGACCCTATACCTTAAAGACCCAAAAAACTCTACTCAGAAGCTTCTAGACATCATCAATAGCTATAGCAAGGTAGCAGGATATAAAATCAACATAGAAAAATCATTACCATTTCTATACACTAACAATGAGCACACGGAAAAAGAATGTATGAAAACAATTCCATTTACGATAGCCTCAAAAAAAAAAATCAAATACCTAGGTGTAAACCTAACAAAAGATGTGAAAGACCTCTACAAGGAAAACTATACACTTCTGAAGAAAGAGATTGAGGAAGACTACAGAAAGTGGAGAGATCTCCCATGCTCATGGATTGGTAGAATCAACATAGTAAAAATGCCCATACTCCCAAAAGTAATCTACATGTTTAATGCAATAACCATCAAAATTCCAATGACATTCATTAAAGAGATTGAAAAATCTCTCTGTGCTACCCAGGCAGCACAGAGTGGTCAGGAGGACGGTCCCTGTCCATGACTGCCCAGGCCCAAAGGTACATACAGTCCCTCGCCTGAAAATACCAAACCGACCTCCATCAGAGAACCGACTTAGGAATAGGTTCCTAAGGTACCTCCGTGTACCTAGGACCACAAACACCTTTACAACTACATACCTCGTTACAGAAACACACAAAGACCCAAATGCATCAAAAAAGAAACAGAGGTGTCCGGGAGAAAGTAACGCGACGCTAAAAGGTCCAAGGGGTTCCCCTGCAAGAACAGACTGCTAAGCTACAAAATGCCTGGCCCTGACTGCAAACCCATTTATCTGCCCCTCACACAAACCAACAACTCTCATCCATAGGCAGAATTGGACCCAGAAGCAAAGCCAGGAAAGCAAGCAAGCAAGCAAGCAAGCAAGCAAGCAAACAAGCAAGCTAGGAGAGGGAACTGACCTGGAGGCTGACAGGCTTCAGAATACTTGGCAACCTGACACAAACCCCTGGCCGCAGGCAAGCCGCCTTGAAGCGCCTGCCTCGCCGCCTCCCTCCAGGGCCGGCCGCTAGTGAGGTTCGCCACCGCCCCAGCGGGGGCAGGCGCCTTCCCGCCAGCACGGCTCTCCCAGCGGCGGTGGCGGCTCTGGCACACGGAGCTGCGCGAATGTCCTCCCCCCACGCGGCCCGCTCCACGGCGCTGAGGGCCCAAGCCCCGGCTACTGCAGCCCATCCGGCCCGGTCCCCTCGCTCACTCACCCTCCGAGAAGCTGGTCGGTTCTCAGGTCCTCTGTGTGCGCGCGCGGGCGCGCCCGCGATGCCTGGCAGCTCCGGGCAGCAAAGGCCCCAGGGAGGACTTCAGCAGGCGGCCGGCGGGCAGCCTACAAAGACAAGCCTGTCAGAAGACAGCTTCATGCTGCGGACAGCCCAGCTGCACGGGGTGGGGTGGGGGTGGGGGTGGGGGGTAAACGGTCCTCCCACCGCGACTTGGCCTGCCTGGAAGGACCCAACTCTCATCTCTGATCTCTCAGAGCAAGAGCCATGGGCGCCCTACAAGGCTCTGCCTTTCTCCAGGAGAGGGCCCGGCGGGCAGCCTACGAAGACAAGCCTGTCAGAAGACAGCTTCATGTGGCCAAGAGCCCAGCTGCACCCAGGGGCAGGGGGTAACGACCCTCCCACCGCGACTTGGCCTGCCTGGAAGGACCCAACGCCTATCTCCCAGAGCAAGAGCACCAGGCGCCCTGGACCTGTCTGCACTTCTCCAGGAATCCCCCAGGCTTGGGTGGCCTGCAGGGACCTGGAGCCCGACTCCGCCCCCCAGCTCTGCAGGGGCCCACCTCCCTCCCCTCCACCTGCCATCCACTCCCCTGCCCCACCCCCACCCGGCCCTCCCTCCACTCCCTGCAGGGCCCTTGACAGCCAGGGCCAGCCCAGGAGGTGGGGAGCCAGGCTTGGTGGGATCCATTGCCCAAAACCCTCTCTGTCTGCTGTGCACAAACACAGCACTTCACAGAGCAGGGCCAGGGCACCTGCCTCCCCTCACTCAAACCCACCAGCCAAGGAACCTGCTCAGCCCTGCCCTCCTCCCCCAATGAGTAGGTCTCCCCGAAGTTCTCAAACTTCCACCATTCATTCTTTCCACGCGTCCCCCACACTCCCACGACATTTTCAAATCCTCTCCTCCTCTTTGCTCCCAACACCTGCACGCTACACTCCAGGAGATCCCTACTTTCCCCACCTCAGCTCACAGCAGACCCCTGCATGTTGAAAGAAGTCATCCCAGGGTAGGAAAATAAAGGTCCTTCCAAGTGAAATGGGCGTCTTGAGTGCTGCTTCTCACCACGTCTTGCCAACCAACCGTGCAACACCATCCCTGCATGCAAAACCAGACAAATAGATGAGTTCCCCAAAGCGTGGCCATCTACTTTAAGGGTTCCCAACTATACAACCCTGGAGGGCCAAAAGGACCCCCCGTGTGGCTGTAGGAAGTCGGAAATACCAAGAGCTCATGGTGTCTGCTAGTCTGGTGGGGAAAGGGCAGGGGGGTTGGGGCACCATGACGTCAATGTATGTTCATATTCCCTATGACAGCCAGCAGCCTACAAAGAGAATTTCCTGTCAGACCCCACAGTCCTGGCTGCACAAGCCCAGATGCACTGGGGAAAGGTCTCTCCCACCCGAACTTGGCTGGCCTGGGGAGACCCAGACCAGATCTGGGAGATTGACAGGCGCCCCACACCTCTCCCCAGTTCTCCAGGAGACCTCCAGGCTTGGGTGGTCTGCAGCGACCTGGAGCCCAACTCTGCCCCCCCACCCCCAACTCTGCAGGAGCCCCCCTCCCTCCTCCTGTCATCCATTCCTCTGCCCCAGCCCCATCTGCTGCTTCGACTGCCAGCAAGTCCACGGACAGCCAGGGGATGCCCAGTACAGGGGCATGGGACTCCAATTCCCATACTTGCCTCTGCACTGCACAAGCCCACCGATCAGGGCTAGGGCACCTCGTTGACCTCACTCAAACCCAGTAGCCAAGGAACCTGCTCAGCCCCGCCCTCGACCCCAATGACAGGTCTCCCTGAAGTATTAAAAATTAAAGAATTAATTTTTTCCAAGCCTCCCCGACCACAACTTTTCTACCAACAAGTACACGCTAAAGTCCACCAAATCTAGTTTTCCACTGTACCTTTCAGTTACCCTATGCCCACAATACACATACCTTTCAATACTTAAACAAGGCAACTATTTTGGTTAATATAGATGTATTTATTCTTGCCTTTTTAAACTTCACCTCCTCTGAGCAAAAGACACTGTGTTTCCACTGAGTGTTGTGCAATACCCATGAGGACCAAAGCACATGTAGCTAATGAACTAGGAGCCTGGGAGGCTCTAAGGCTTCCCCACTTGAGGTGAAGTGTCCCCGAGTGAAGCACCCTCTCGGGAGGTATACTTCCAGTGTGCTAAAGAGCCTCACGACCTACCTCTGGATTCCTGATCCTTCACACAAGCACTGGCAGGCTGGCTTTGGCCCACCATGCTGTCTTAACATCCCAGGAGGGCCCAATGCAGCATGGTCCCCAACCAGTGGCTCCCACCACCCTTCCAATATCCCTTACTGATGTCTGACACTGGTCCGCAGTTCTTGTGATACAAGTGATGACACAAGGAGAAGTCATCACTACAGCAGGTGGAGGAGAAAGAGAATCTTATCAGACTCTCAAATCAACAAAAAGTTGCTCATGCCCCGAAGCATAAAGAAAAGGTATTGCCGACCTGGACTGGGCCAGGATGGATCCATCCACTCATTCAGTCAGTGCCAGGCAGCTGAGACCTCTCTGCTTTTCTCAGGGATCACATATCTCCCGAGGCCACAACCCTGAGCCCAACATGGTCCCCAGCCCTGCAGGGGACCACTCCATCTGCCATCCCCTTAGCCACACCTGGTTCATACACTCCTGGAAGGGCCCTTGACAGACAGGGGAGTCGAGCAGAAGGGGAGTCCTTGCTGAGGACCTGGCACCTAACTTACCTCACTCAAGCCCTGACAGGGAACCTGCCCAGCCCTGTACTCCTTCACTCACATATATGTCTCCCAAATTTTTGAAAATTAAAGAATTAATGCTGACCTCCAATGAAATGTTAAAATCTTGTCCCTGTCTCCACTATGGAAAACAGTATGCTGAAGTCTGGAAGAACCCTAGTTTCTCACTGTACATTAAAGCCAATTCCTAACTTATTACTGGAAATAAGAAAGACATATTATAATTCATTGTACCTAAAATACCTGTGCCATTAGTGATTCTTACCCAAGGCTTAAATAAAACAAAAACATCCTTGCAAGGAAAGTCAGGAAAACACATGAGTTCACAAAAGTACTGCCTTCTGGAGAAATGGTTACTAATGTAGTCCTCTCCAGGGCCACAATGACCACTTCTGTATTAACAGAATCTTGAAATAATGCCTCTTGTATGGCACTCAAGAAACATTTATTAAATAAATTAACTGCTTCTTAAACAGGTTTAGCCATGCCTGATACTAATTTTCACAGAATTCATAATCAAAAATATAATTAAATCCAGGTGTGATGGAGCACTTGAGAGGTCACGACATTAGATCAAAATTCTAGGCCAGCTTGAGCAACAGGGCAAAAACTCTACTTCAAAAAACTAACAAGTCAAGGCTAAGGGTCACACCTCTCAGCAACCCAGAAGGCAGACATCTCATGGATCACAATTTAGGGCTAGCTGGGGGAAAATTTTTGCTAGACTTCATCTCAACTAAGGAAAAGTTGACATGCTGGCAGGAGCCTGTATTCACATCTAAACAGGAAGCACAATTGTATAAGGAGGATCTCAGTCCATGACTGCCCAGGCAGAAAGTTGAGATGCCTATCACGAATATAATGAAAGCAAATATGAATGAATGAATGCATGGGTAAATAAATAAATAAAAAGCAAAAACAAAGCAGGCTAGAGCCACAGCTCAAATGACAGAGTGCCTGCCTAGCAAGTGCCAGGCCCTGATTTCAAACGCCAGTACCCGCCTCTTCCAACTTTACACAATATTGTGCAAAGAACAAATGTCAACAGATTTTTTCACTTATTTTTAAAACCCTTTACAAACATGGGCAGATTAAAGAGCAAGCCAAAGAAGAGGAAAGCATGCAGACATTTGTTAATCAAGTCTAGGATTTCCAGGTTTTCTCCTGCTCATGTACAGCCTAAGCATGACATGGCAGTCAGATAGCAAGAGTCTAAAACTCAGGTAAAATGATGTGCAGGTCACATTACTCAATCCACTACTCTGCTGGCATTCCCTGGCCACACAGATTGTTTCACAAATGAAGCTTTTCTTCCTATTGGAACTTAAACTAGAAATTAGATTTTTAAAAACTGCAGCCAAAAACACCTACCGAAATGTTCTGCACATTCTGTAGTGTTCTGGTTTTTGTTCCGTTTCTCTTCAGAAGGTCCTTCTTCATGTACGATCTTCAGAAACTGAAAACCAAGGACATTTTAACTAGTTGCACAGGGTGTTCTGGCTTTACTAGCAGTGCGACAATTTCAAACTAAGTAGATTAAACATGAATGCACACAGAGAAACCATTGTACCATTAGTTCAATATTACATTTCCTTCTTCAAAGTTTCAAAGCAAGAAATAAGAAATCTAGGAAAAGACCATAATTTTCAAAGTAAAATCTTGCAAATGTTTCAAAATCACTGAGGAAGGCATCAGAGGATTCTCCAGGAAACTTTCTACCTTTAAAACTTACTCAAAAGTGTGGCCTGAAGAAACTTTTTCCATCCAATTGCCAGGTTCCTGCTGTCAAGGAGGATGCCTTACTTACTGTTCCATTGCGGGCACCCTGCACACTTTACCCAAGGAAAATAGTCTTACACACTCTTGAGATGCTAGAGGGACAGTAGCACATACAAAAGATTAAGGGACTTTAAAGGAGTCAGATGGCCTGGCTGAGTCACAGCTCTGACTTTGGACTAGTTATCCTTACTTTATAGGTGGGGACTTTCATTATATCATCTGTAAAGTGGGAATAATAATAGAACTTGTGTACTAGGGGTTTTGATGATTAAATGAGATAATGTGTGCGTGCACACAATCCACATATCACTCAACAGTTACACAAGAAAAATATTCTGGTTAATTTGTCTATGTTGATAACTTTTGTCTAGCTAAAGTAAATCAGCTGAAACTTGTACTCTGAACACATTGCAATACTGGCCATTGCTTTACAAGAATTTTTTCCTTTACCCTTGCAATGTCAACTTTACTAAGTCCAGTGGGGGAGTCAGGGACAAGTGATGCTCTCCTGAAGGCAATCACTCCATTAATCTCCTCTTAACCAAAGACACTGTTTTCTGCGGAGATGTCTTTCACAGTGTCGCACAAAGCACCCATCAGAACGTGAGTACACTGAGCCAGGAGAAAGGGAGGATCCAAGGCTTCACTGCCCATGGTGAAGCACCCCTTGGTGAAGCACCTGTGGGTTGGCCTCACTCCCAGGCTGCTAGAGCAGTTTATGGCTGATCTAGCTGGTGCCTGGTCTTTACTTCCAGCACAGGCCCAACTAGATGCCTTAAGTCACCACAGGGCCTACTCAAATATCATGTCCCCAGTCACTGGCTGCCCTAGCCCTTCCTGAACCCTTACTTACCTCCAATGCAGGTTCAAATGTGGGAGGCAAAGGACAATGGGAGGGGTACCACTATACCAGACAGCCTAGGAAGCCAAACCTCACAGACACCAAGCCAAGGCTGCTGAGGCACAAGCAGATGCACTGGTAAAAAGTACCACTCTCCTGGAACGGGCCAGGTGGGACCCATCTCCTCACCTCGATGAGTGCCAGGCAGCCACAACCTCACCATTTGCTTATCTTCTGGGACACAGAGTCCTGGATGGCAACCACCTGAGCCTGATGCAGCCCCTTTCCCCCACCAGGCTTTGCTGCCCCCACTCCCTCCACTAGCCATCCTCCCTTATGCACATAGTTCAGCTCCTAGAAGGGAGCTGTGACAGCCAGGGCACTGGAGGAAAGTGGCTGTCCATACTGAGGCCAAGGCTCTGAACTTCAGCAACCCAGCACTTCACTGATCAGGAGGAGGGAGACTGAATTGTGTCATTCAAGTCCTGGGTGGGAACCTGCTGAATCCCACCCTCCTGCCCCCCATAATAATGTCTCCCATAATTTTCCCCAATTAAAGAATTAATTTTCCTAACTTACCATGAAATTTTAAAATTCTGCCTCTATCTTTCCAATGAAAAGCTGTATGCTAACATCTCTAGGAGGCCTAGTTTCCCAATGTACCTTAAAGCAGCTCCCTGCTTTATTAATGAAAACAATAAATATTTATTATAATTGAATTCAGTGTAAATAAAACTACGAGTCAGCAGTGCTTCTTTCCTAGTCTTTTACATAAAATAAAAATATTTTTGCATAGAACATCAGAAAAACATGAATTCAGAAAATTGCTGCCTTGTACACAAAAGAATCACTACCATAATACTCTCTAGGGCCCCAATGACCACTTCGTTATTATCAGAAACTTTAATAATGCCTGCTGCATAGCACTTCAGAAATATTTGTTATAATTAAACTGCACATTAATCAGGTTTAACTATGTCTGATATTAATCTCCAAAGAACTCATAATAAAAAGTACACTTGACACCAGGTGTGATGGAGCACAACTGTAACCCCAGTGCTTGGAAGGCTGAGACATGAGCGTCAAGTTCCAGGCCAGCCTGAGCAACAGAGCAAAACTCTACCTCAAAACACAAACAAGTCAGGGCTCGGGGTCACTCATCTTATCTTAGCTAGCCAGAAGGAAGACATCACATGGATCACAATTCAGGGCTAGCCGGGGAAAAAGTTGCTAGACCTCATCTCAACCAATAAAAGTTGGACATGCTGGCAGAAACCTGTCTTTACAGCTACACAGGAAGTACAAGTGTATATAAGGAGGATTGCAGTCCATGCCTGCGCAGGCAAAGAGTAAGAGACCCTATCACAAAAATAATGAAATAAAAAATAAATGAGTGAATGGATAAATGAATAGCAAAAATGCAGAAGGCTAGAGCCACAGCTCAAATGACAGAGTACCTGCCTAGTAAGTGCCAGGCTCATATTTCAAACCTCAGTATCCCCACACATTCCAACACATATGCATTGTTCAATTTTATACACTATTGTACAAAGAATGAATTCAACTGACTTTCTGCACTTATTTTTAAAACTCTTTATAAAAATGCACAGATTAAAGAGGAAGCCAAAGAAGAGGAAAGCATGCAGACACTTGTCAATCAAGTCTAGGATTCCCTGGCTTTTTCCTGCCAATGTACAGCGTAAACATAACTTGTCAGTCAGTTATTCAGTATCCAAAACTCAGGTAAAATGATTTGTAAGGTTTGTATTACCAAGTTCTCCATTGCCATTCCCTGTTTGTGGTAGGGGAGACCCAGTCATATCCTGTGTGACAAACCACATTCTACAACCTTGGAAATCCTGATAGTGAGCTGAAACTAAAAGCCTTCCTAGAGTAAGTATTAAGCCAAATGGCTTAATTCTAGCTCCCAGGCTTAGCATGCATGCTGAAGGGACTGCCACAAGTAACACATCAGTTCCTTACAGGACCACTTCACATCACCTGGCTAAACAAACAAGCTGACCACAACTGCCCAAACCTCAAGAAGAGCCTAGAATTAAGAACCCTGAGTGTAATCCCCTAAAACCTGTCCAGTAGAGCATGAACCACTGATTGCCACACAGCTCAAGATATCAACTCTAAAAAGAGATAGCATCCAGATAAGAAATCAGAGTGAAATACACAGTATACTCATTAAACTCAGAGAAAACCTACTCCTCTCCATACAAAGGAAAAAACTGCACAATTATATCATCTATATCTATGTAGATACAGATGTATATGTAAACATATTTAATTAAAAATGTGTTACCTCCTTTTTCCATTCTGTTGAATTTCTAGACATATATAACCAGACAAAACTGAACCAAGAGGATATAAATCATCTAAATATATCTATAACGAGGAATGAAATTGAAGTAGCAATAAGACTCTCCCAAAAAAGAAATATCTGAATTAACCAGACCTTTAAAGAAATAAACTCAGCACTCCTCAATCTTTTCCATGAAATAGCAAGGGAAGGAATACATTGAGAACACCATTCTATGAAGCCAGTGTTACACTTATCCCCAGACCGGACAAAGCCACAACAAAAAAAGAATTATGGGCAAATCTCTTAATGAGATTAGATGCAAAAATCCTCTATAAAATACTGTGAACTGAAATCAACAACATATCAAAAAGTTCATGTACCGTGACCAAGTCAGTTTTATCCCAGGGATGTGGGGATGGTTCAACATATGCAAATCATTAAATGTAATACAGAATATTAATAGAAGCAAAGGCAAAAACCACATGATCATCTCAATAGATGCAGAAAAACCCTTCACGAATTCAACATTCTTTCATGATAAAACTAAGAATAGAAGGAAGTTAAGCCTATATATATATATACACATATATATATATATATGTATATATATATATATATGTATCCCGGTGTAATTTATGTAGGCTATATATGACAAACCTATAGCCACATCATACTAAATAGGGAAAAATTAAAACACTTTCTTCTAAAGTCAGGAACAAGGCAAAGGTTCTACTCTCTACACTCTTATTCAACAGTCTTAGAATTACTAGCTAGGGCAATAAGACAGGAAGAAGTAATAAGAATAATTCAAATACAAAGCAAAGAAGTCAAACTATTCCTGTTTGCAGATGACATGATCTTATACCTAAGAGACACAGAAAACTCCACTAAAAGAAAATAAACACCTTCAGCAAAGTAGAAGGATACAAAATAAATTCACAAAACTCAGTAACCTTTGTATATACCAACAATAAGCAGACTGAGAAAGAATATAGGAAAACAGTTCCATTTACAATAGCCTCCAAAATAATATAGTACATAGGAATACACTTACCAAAGGGAGTGAAAGATCTCGACCTCTACAATGAAAACTATAAATCACTGAAGAAAAAGAAATCAAAGATTCCAGAAGATGGAATGATCTCCCATGCTCATGGACTGGCAGAATCAAGATTGTGAAAATAACTATATTACCAAAAGCAACCTACATGTTCAAAAAGCAATTGCCCTCAAAATTCCAATGACATTCATCACAGAGATTGAAAAATCAACCTGAAGTTCATTTGGAATCATGAAAGACCACAGATAGCCAATGCTAGAGGTCACAATACCCAACTTAGAACTCTACTTCATAGTCACAGCAATAAAAACTGCATGGTACTGGCAGAAAAACATACAGGAAGACCATCTGAACAGAAATGAAGACTCAGATTCATATCCACCAGCAATACTCACCTGATTTTTTGACATCACCCAAACCATTTGATGGAGAAAAGACGGCCCTTCAATAAATGTTGCTGGGAATTGGACCTATCTGCATGCAGAAAACTGAAACTAGATCCATGTCTTTCACCATGTACAAGTATTAACTCAAGGTGAGTGTTAAGGTAGAAAGGAGAAAAAAAAGAGGGGATGAACCAATTTAGGTTTTAATACATATATACATGGAAATGTTACTATGAAACAAACAAAATTGCCGTTTTTTTTTTCAAAAAACGAGGACATAAAGGTAAAACAGGTTCTGTCTGCGGGTTGGAAGCACTGGAAAGGAGGGAGGATATAAAGGATATAGGAGGTGAATATGGTGGAAATGTTATGTACTCATGTATAAAAATAGGAAAATGAGTTCTGTTGAAACTATTCCAGAGTTGAGGGGGGATAAAGAAGAATGATGGGGGGTGATCAATTCAACTCTGACATATGAACTTTTGTAAATTTCACAATTCACAACAAGAAAAAAAGCTACAAAGAATTTATTAATTCCTTTTACTCACAAATGCATTTTATTTTATTTTATTTTTTTAAGGGGAGAGCACAAACACGGTCCCCCACTACCACGAATTATGCAGTCGAGTTTCCCACATTTGAGGAAATCTCAAGGGTCAGCACATCCAGAGTGCAATGGATAAGCCTCGACCTGGATCACATTCGTGATCATGGTATCTCCCCTGCCAGTTAAGTGCACAGATGCATTTTAATATACATGAGAAATTGCATAGTTATCCTAATCCTCAAGTAGCACTTGTCTTGTCTAATAGAAACAGGCTTTTCTTCCTTCTTGGGGTGGTGAATTAAGCCAGCCTGTAGTGAGAGGGCTCATGGAAAATGTATCTTGGCAGAAAAATACTCCAGGAAGCCTCTTAGAAGTGTCAGTACCTTCTATCTGGCAGCCAGCAAGAGAATAAGACCTTGGCTCCACAATTTTATGGAAATGATTGTGCTAACAACATGAAAGAAAGGGAGGGAAATGGGAAGATGAAAGGAGTGAAAGAAGGGAGAAAGAACAAAGTAAAGTTAAAAGAGTAAACTATCATAGTTATTAACAATTATATTAGCTTTTCATCTCTGTGACAAAAATAGATGAGAAAGTCAACATAAAGGAAGAAAGGTCAATTTCAGCTCAAGATTTCAGAGGTTTCAGTCCATGGTTAACTGGCTTTATGTTTTAGGCCAATGGTGATGCAGGACGTCACAACAGAAGGGTATGGCAGATGAAAGCTGCTCACCTCATGGCAAACAGGAAGGAGATACACACACACACAGGGTGATGTGACACAGGGTCAGAGGAGACAGAGAGAGAGAAAGAGAGAGAGAGAGAGAGAGAGAGAGAGAGAGAGAGAGAGAGAAAGCAAAAAGACAAATGGAAATTGCCACTTTACAACAAGATTCAAGTATATTCTACCACTGAGTGAAAAGTTAGTGAGCTACTCAATTGTCACACTGTCTCAAAGTGTCACTCCACAAATTTCATACTTAAAAAACTATGAAGAACCTGTACAATGGGAAAATCTGGTAATACCACCTAAACCAAATAAGAACAATTACACTAACAATGAAACAAATTTACACGTGTGGACATGCACCATGTTCTCATCTGCTGACAAATCAGTTATGCAGGGTTTCTGCCATTTAACCGGAATCTAATCATAAGGAAACAATTGGACCATTCTGCAAAACAACAGGCTTGGACTCTTCATGACCTCTGAATGTCATAAAAAATGAAGTTAAAACGAAAAAAGTAAACCATTTCCAGAACAAAAGTGATAAAATGGACAAAACATAATTAAAAGCAATAAATCAATGTGTCATCATAGACTGAATGCTTGATCAATCAAAAAGAAAAGCTACTAAAGACATTTGGGACTTCAGCGGCCTTGGAGACCCTGGGGCCAAGTCTTATCTCTTAGGGGCTTAAAACTCTAGACCCTGAGAACTAGAAGCTTAAGGTTCCAAGCCTTTGAAACTAGAGACTCACTTCAGGTCAAAGTGAGCTTTGGGCCTGCAGAGTCCGCAGCCCTGCACACAATAACTAGCATCACAGCCCAGGAGCTTAGGGTGTCGGGACCCTAGGCCCTTAACCCTTGTTAGCTCTCTGGAAAGCTTTCCACCCAGCCTTGCTTCCTCACCCCTTTCTACACTCCAGTCTTCTCTGGTCTTACCTCCAATGCCTTTCTCCTTTGTGTGCTTCCACAGTCCTTCACAGTCTTTGTTCCCACGTCTTAAATTCTTCAGCTGCTTCATAGTTGCTGTGTGGATCCACCCGCTTATATCCCGGAGTCCTCGGGTTGCACAGCCTTGGAAGTCACTCTCCATCCACCTTCTAGCTCCTGTCTGAGGCTTGAAGCCTCAAAGTAGGGTTTTATCTTCTCTTAGCATTACTGCTTAAACCTGTTTCAATGATGGTGAAGACTACAAGGAGGCAAAAACCATCTTGGAAGACGCTTTTACAAGACCTCACATCAACGCCTTCAACGCAGCAAACCGAAGAGACTGGAAGGCATAGCCTGCTTATATAGCTTTGGAAGGATCGTAATTCCACCAATCGCAGCCTTAGCTTCAGTTCTACCAATCATAAGCCTTATATTTTGCCAATCACAGGCCTTGCTTATGAACCAATCACAAGCTTACATTGCACCAAGCACAGGCTTTTTGCCGAGTTACCGAGGAGCCACTTCTCCACCCAGAGTCGGAAATAGCTCCAGGGTCATCTAGAGTTCACCAGTCTTCCAAAGCCAGCGCAAGTAAAAGCAGGATTCACGGCTTTAGCAGCAGCCGTGATTACAGTGATCCTGGAGCTGGAGCACATGAGATTGGGAAGATCGGGGTTCCAGGCCAGCCTGGGCAAAAAAGCCCATGCAAACCCCTCCCCCTCCTCCTCCCCCTCCTCCTCCTCCTCCTCCCTCCTCCTCTTCTTCTTCTTTCTTCTTTTGTGGTACTGGGGATTGAAGTCAGCACCTACCGCTTGAGCCACACTTCCAGCCTAAAATCCAGATTTTTAAAAGGAAGGCTTTAGGAGGATTTTGACTTTTTGACTGTTAGGACTTTTGGGCTTTTTTTTTTTTAACATCTGACATCTATTGCTCATGAATTTATACCAGTTAGATTTCTGTAAAAAGAAGCCCTTTAGGACTGGGGTTACAGCTCAGTGGCAGTGCACATGCTTCCTGGATTCAGTCCCCAGTACCAAAAGCTAAGTAAATAAATGAGCTCTGTTTCATGCGACTAAGTCCTGTAAATTTGCCCCAAGAGCCATTGAGCCATTTTGGTTTTTGTTTGTTGGTGTTTTGGGTATAAACCCAGAACCTCATATATGCTGAGGAAGTGTTTTAGCTCTGAGCTACACCCCAGCCCAGAGGTGTGATTTTTTTGTTTAGTTTTGTTTTTGTTTTTGTTTTTTGTGGTGCTAGGGGTTGAACCCAGGGCCTTGTGCACATGCGAGTCAAGTTCTCTACCACTGAGCTACAGGCTTAGCTCCCAGAGCCATGTACTTCTTTTTGGCTGTGCTGGGGTTGAACTCAGGGCTTTGTGCTTGAGCCATGCCCCCAGCCCCAGAGCCATACTTTTTGAATGAGGAATTTCCATCCGGAGCCAGGAAAAGGGTTATTTTTTTTTCTTTTTTGAGTCCCTCCTCTCTGTGTCTCTAAATCACTTGACCACATCTTTATTTTATTTTTTTTGAATATTTTCCAGAAATATTTTATTAATATTAAAAATCACAAAGTTCTCACATACATAAGAATATATTGCCCAAATCGTTCTTTACATTTGAGTTCTTTAATGGAGTAAGAGTGAAAAGCTCATGGAGTGTGCTATTCATACACAAAAAGAATACCTGATGCTATCTATGTACTAGGTGTGGTTTCAAACACAGCTCTACATCATGGATAACCCAATATTTCATCTCACCTTACTAGATAATGAGCCAATTTAGGATATTAACCCTAAGGATTACTATGGATGGCAGATGGGTGCAGTGCAGAAAACATGCCACTGAATCTAGTGGTTTAAGTGAAAATTCTGGTCTTTAGTTCAAGAACCTAAGTAAGCAGCACCCAGACTATAGCTGTGACTTCTTTGAGTTGATGTAAGGATTATGGAGATCTGTATGTATTGTAACTGATTGTCTTATGCCTTATTATTATTGTTATTATTATTATTATTTATGGGACTGAGGTTTGAACTCAGGGCTTCATGCTTGCAAAGCAGGTGCTCTACAACTTGAGCCACACCTCCAGTCCACTTTGCTCTGGTTATTTTGCACAGTTTATTTATTTATTTATTTTTGGTGTACTGGGGTTTGAACTCAGGGCCTCACACCTGCCAGGTAGGCACTCTTCCACTTGAGCCACTCTGCCAGTCCCCTGCTCTGGTAATCTTGGACATGGGGTCTTGCAAGCTATTTGCCCAGGCTGGCCATGAACCACAATCCTCTGAAACTCAGACTCTCAGGTAGCTACAATTAAAGATGTGAGTCACCAGCACCCAACTTAATACCTTATTTTGAAACCTCTTTTGGGCTATATTAAATCAGTGTTTGGGAGTGATTTCTGGTGGATGGTGCTGGGGATCAAATCCATGGCCCCACACACAATAGGCAAGCATTCTAGCACTGAGCTCCACCCCTCAACCTTAGGAGTGAATTTTTCTGAAGTAAGTGATTTGTTCCATGATTACATATATTTAAGAATCAGAGGTGATTTTAGAGCTTGATGTCTACATGAAGTTTGGATTTTGCCTGTTTGACATGACATTGTATTTGATTATATTTAATAAAACCTAACCAAAGTTTATAATTTAAGAATGATTCCCCCGGATCTCACAAACATCAAATATTACATTTATTTAACTATGCCCTTGTCATAATGAAAAGTTATGCTGGCAATAAATAGCAAGAATTATGTACTCTGGGGATTAGTTTTTCCCTTTGGACTAATTAAAAGTTGAAAAGCTACCTTGGTCTAGTAAGCAGTAAATCTACTGAATAGTCCTTACTGTGTGAACCTTAGCCTTTTATTTTTACTCTCTTCCAGGTAACAACATCCATTTCATACACTGTGATAGGCATAGTTTGGATAACAAATCCATAAACCTGGTTTTGCAGCTCATAGGCATTCAGCAGGTGAACTTCACCAACAGACCTGCAGTTATCCATTTGTGACTTAATATGGGAATCTGTCACTTGCAAATGGGTGATCAAAATATGATCTTAAATGCAGGGTGTTGCATCCTAATGTGGTGTCTGACTCTGTGGGCCCTACCAGATGTGGAGGGGTTATGAAAGCACCAGGAGAACAGTTGTCAAAAAGGTGACAAACATTTTTAATTTTATAGATTTTACAATTCTATATAGAATAAAAATAAATTACAAAAGAAAATATTGTTACATAATTATGAACACTTGCTAAAATTATTTTACATTATATCCATTCAGAAGATCCTCTTAGCAATTAAAATATAATTAAAATTAAAATATAATTAAATTTTAATTAAAATATCTTAGCAATTAAAATATAGGGAAGAATATGTTAAGGGAAGTGAATGCAACCTAAGGCCATTTTATTCAGTGAAAAAGCAGGACGTCAAACTCTGTCAACAGTCTAACCACTTTTTGGTATGCATATATTTATATTTTTGTATGCTTAGATGAATGACAGGAAATAAACACACCACCACATTGCCAGTGGGTCATATGTGTGGTAAGATTCTGGTGCTTTGCTTTCTTTCCCAGACGTGTCTGCATTTCCCAAGTATCCTCTATGAGCACAACTGCTGTGTATGGGCAAGAAAAGGTCTCTAAACATTACAGACAGATCCCTGTCTCTGTGGAACCTAACAGAGGTGCAGGTGACACTGGATGCAGTCCACGAGCTCCATCCTAACTGCTTTACTTAGAGGAAATGAAACCGAGCCTCCCAGAGCACCTGGTCACCAGCCACCTACTGTCCATTTCAATAGGATCTTCTGTGGGGTGAAGGCAGTAGAGGACAAAAATATTTCTTTTACATCTTTTTTTCTTTTGATGTGGTGCTGAGGATCAAATCCAGGATCTTGTGCATGTTAAGTACTGAGCACCAGTCCTAACCATATATGTGTGTATGTAATATTTCTTTTTTCTTGGTGTGACAGGAGTTCGAACTCAGGGCTTCCAGCTTGCAAAGCTTTTGTTTTTCTTTCCTTTATTTTGGAGATGGGGGGCTCTCAAAATGCATTTAAATATATACAGTCACTATGCTTTCTGAAAAGGAATTTTTTTTCCTTTTTGTTTTCCAAAGGGGAATTTTAAGACTTGTTTAAGGTTTGAAATTTGTAACTTAAATGTACACTGTGGTTTGGTTATACATTCCTAGATGATTGTTCACATTCCCAAATTACTCTTAGAGAACTTTGGTCATGTTTTATTTTTCTAGTCTATGCAGAAATTCTGATGAACAGTACAAAATGAAAATATTGGTAATTATTAACAACTATATGCTGCTTTAACTTATAATACTTTTATATAAAGCATATGAAGTCACAAAAATACATATTTAATGTATCCAAATATTTGAATATATTTTCACATCTGTATAAATGAACACTTGCGTTTTTAATCAATAAAAATGAAATTTCTCATAAAATTAAAAATTAAGCTATTCTGTGCTATTTTTGATACAAAATAGTGTGGTGGCCAAGATCCGTCTGCCAGTTGTAGACTTAAAACTGCTGAACAAAATGTATGCATTTATTAACATATACTACATTTTTCTAAAACAAATAAGTAGTTTTTATGTGGCTTCAGGGAGGTCCAATTACAGGAGGACAGTGCAGTGGTAAATTGTCTACCTAAATGAATGCTTCTGTTGGGTTTTGTTCTGAGACAGGGTCTCCCTGTGTGGCCCAAGCTGGCTTTGAACTCATGATCTTCCTTCCTCTGCATCCCGAGGTGCTGGGATTACAGGCATTCACCACCACTCCCAGCTCAAATGAGTGCTTTTAATATCAGATTACCAGCTGGGTGTGGTGGCATGTGCCCCTGGGTCCCAGCTACTTAGGTGGCAGTGACAGAAGGGTCACTTGAGCTCAGGACCACTTGAGCCCAAGAGTTTGAGACCATCCTGGGCAGCGTGATGAGAACCTGTCCTGTGTGCTGCTTACTGTATGAACATAACCCCATGTCCAGTCATGTACTGGACAGAATTCTGAAGAACCTCCTGTGATATACACAGAAATACTGGATAGAAAGAGAAACATCAGGCTGGAGGATGGCTTAGAGATGGAGTGCTTGCTCAGCTTGTATGCAGCCCAGCACTAGAAAAAGAAGACCACAACTAACATTTTTTGGTGCTAATTATTATTTCCAAGCAATAGCCAGGTGCTGTACACACAGTCACTTTGTGGAATTACTAATTTTATCATCAATGTCATCCTCATTTTTCAGAGAAGGAGCATCTCTTTTCAAGGTCAGTTTATA